AAGTCACAATAATAAACGACTAAACAGGAAGTACAAGGTTCACACTGGACCGGGGGGGGGGGGGGGATGTGACCTCAGCTCTGCCCACTAAGACTCATCGTAGTTAATAGCTAACCAGTTAACCGGCTGGTAATGAGCAGGGCTCCTGTGGGGGCCACCAAACAGGAGCAGCAGTGCATTGTGGGATACGGGGCCAGTCCCGGGGTGTTTTGAACCGGGAGCAGAACAGAGTGAGACGAGAATACAAAAACCAGACCTCAGATTTCTGTTTTTACTGTTTAAGGTGCAAAAAGCTCCAGATTTCTGTTTTTTTTTTTATTGTATTCAGACACTAAAATCTCTAAATTACTGTTTTTTTTTACTGTATTCAGACACTAAAATCTCTAGATTACTGTTTTTTTATTGTATTCAGACACTAAAATCTCAAAATTACTTTTGTTTTTTTTTCTGTATTAAGGCACTAAATGCTCTAAAAAATTTCTTTTTACTGAATTCATGGACTAGAAGCTCCAGATTTCTGTTATTTTATTTATTTTTTTACTGTATTCAGGCATTAAAAGCTCCAGATTTCTTTTTTTTTTTTTTGCGGTGACCTCTGACCCCCGGGGTCCTCCACCGGCTTCACGCTCTGCTCAGAGACAAGACCTAAACACACAAAACCTAAACACACAAAACCTAAACACACAAAACCTAAACAAAAACCAGCACTTCAGGGCAGGCGGGGGGGCGGGGCGGGGGGTCAAAGGTCGCGCCGGCTGTCTGCCACTGTTCGACTGCCTTTTAAAGCAGAGAGCAGAGTCCTGAAAACATCTGAGGAAGTTCAGATTTTTCACTTAAACATGCTCAGAATAATGGAGCTAACCCCCCCCACAGTTCTCCCCACAATCTGACCCGTTTACTCTCAATTTACCGACATTTCTGATCTGTTCATGAAGGCATCCGTTCAAATGTTGACATCTGATCCAAAGAAACTCCACGACCAGAACTGACCCCGCTCTGATGGAGGGATGGATGCTCACCTTTTTTTGGTGTTTTAACACACCAAAAAAAGTCAAAACAAGGCTTAAAATTACCTAGAAAATACTTTTAAAAAAGCGAAAACAAGGCTTAAAATCACCAAAAAATGCAGCAAAAATAGCAAAAATAGAGCTAAAAATGCTAGAACAAAGTTACAAGAAGTTAAAATGACCAAAATAGAGCCAAAAGAAGAGTCCCAGAGTTCCCACACCTGAAAGAAAGCAGGAAGCAGCATGTGGAGGTTATCAGACACAGGAGGAAGGGTGAGCTCTGAACCAGAACAGACTGAACCCCAGCAGCTCTGATGGAGGGATGATCCTCCAGAGCCAGAGCTCCACGATGGAGCACAGTGGATCATCTGACACAGAACCCAGACAGAACCCAGCCACAGGCAGCAGCAGCTTCCAGAGAAGAGCTGCTCCTCCTCCTCCTCCTCCTCCTGCTCCTCCTCC